TTTAACAAGCGTGTACTTCTTGTAGAGGTTTGTATTTGTGTCACTTATACAACAACAATTCAAAGATTTACAGTTGTTTCATTTTCATAACTTGTTTGCCAAAAAGTACCAGACTAAAGTAAGCAACAAGCTAGCCTCTTGAAATGCTATTTTCCACTCTTATGATACATTTCAAAGCCATTAGAAGCTAATCTGACAACATTTTTATGTGACATGGTTGTCAGTAGGAAAAAAAGAAAGCCATGGGAAAGCAGTGAGAAAAGCCTGAATATAAGAGACTTCAATATATTTGGGAACAGCTGCTAGAGAGATACGTGTGTACAGGAAATACACTGCCCTAAAGATCAGGATTTCAATAGATGTTGGATAGCACTTTAAGATATACTGTACTGTGTCTTTACCATTACTATATTTACAAAGAAAAAGGCAGAAGAAAGCATCTTGATGAGGCCGATTGCAAATGAAAATGACAAAAAGTTGAAAGTTGAAAATCAACTGGAAGTTGAATTAAGAGTCCATCAGTGATTAAGATATTAAAGCTTCATTTCAAGTGGGTAATTAAGCGCATAAGTAACACCACTGATTTGAAGCAATGGTTAGCGTGTAGCAAAATCATATTGCAAAGACTTACACAGAATTTGAGTTTCAGCACCGACTGAGTACTTCCCTCAGCAAAAGCTAATGACTGACATTGCATGATGTGCCAGTGAAACGTAAAATCACAAAAGCCTTTTCAGTTCTGGCCATATTAATACATCTGCTCTCTATTTTGGCTTCTAATTTTTGCAGAACTCTTCACTCTGTTATTATTATTGTTACTACACTAGATTATTTAGTAGCATGGAGGAATTTTCTTAGTTTAGTTACACAGTCTTTGTAGGATTGATCAAAGCACTTTGTTTGCAAATACATCACAAATTGTCACGCATTTTGGGTGAACTAACAATGAGATGTCATCTGTTTCATAATACTGGACTTGCAGAAGTAGCACAGACTTCTGAATAATGCTTAATACGACATGAAAAGCACCAAGAATTTGTGTACCAGGACTCAAATACTTACAGACTTGAAACTGTCAATAACTTCCTACAAAAATTGTGGTTTTAAAATGAAAAGGATGAATTAAGAAGGTTGTTTGTGCCTTAGCGCTACAAGGTATGTTTTGAAAAGCCACTGAAGGAATTTAGTAGCTCTGGTCTCCAACACTGTTGACAGTGAACACCTCTTTGAAAAATCACTCTGTGTGCTTTGCATATGTTAGAGTCCTCCATAATCTCCCAGAGTGTATTGTTATTGCATTTTTGACAGCTGGTTCACATACCAATAGTGATGTAACCCAGCTGACCTTATATCCCTTGCAGGTCATGCATGATTCTTGCATTTACAGTTTAATAAAGCTAAGAAACAAGACTTGCAGAGAAATACATCCTTCCTTGGACAAAGCAGGTTGCAGCAGCTCTAAATTGATTTAAGGACATAATGGAAACAGCAAAGTATCTCTCTGTGTCAAATTATATTCTTTTATGACAGTAAGTCACCATGTGGATTTTGATTCCTTCTCAGAAGAGAATATCTAGGGAATCACATTCAATGTGGCAGGTAGAAAACAAGTCTTTCTCATTTCAACACTTTCTTGCTTATTTTTGCATCATTTTAAGCACATGATTTTGTAATTTCTTTTGCTTCCCATCTCTCAAAAGACTGTAACTCTCTAAGTCTAAAAAGTACTTAACAGAATTGGTTTTGCTGCTATTTCGTGACCCCCAAATTTCCTTTAGATAATCTTTCTCCTTTTTTTTTTTTTTTTTTTTTAATCTTGGTACTCTATTTTCTGTTGGCTGTTTCTCAAAATTTCCTGTGTTAATGTTGATTAGGTCCTTAGAACGCTGCACAGATTATATGAAGTCATGTGCAAATGTGTTGGCTTACTTTACTCTAATTAAGAAAGAGAAATTTAAGACTGTGTTGATAGTGATAGTTTCAGATGTGCCTTTGTTCATTAGAAAATATCACAGAAGGCTACACGTGCTCTAGACCAGGTTTTTACTAAATGAGGATTATGGACAGTATGCAAGTGCTTTGTCCCTCTCAGATGCACTCTTTCCAACCTTAAGAACTGTTACCCTTCCACAAGTTTTGCGCTTCCGTCTGCTGTATTATCATGTTTTGATTCATCCAGTTCAATGCCTGGGATAACAGATGTTGAACATCTCAGTAGCACAGCTGGAGCCTGTGAAACAGCCTTTATTTTGAATTGCCTTGACTGTCGGAGTGGAAAGGAGTTGGAAGACTCAAAATAACAGTGACAAAGGAAAGTGGAGAGGAGCAAGAGCCACCAGACAACTTCTGACAGCTCAGTGCATTGTACTGACATGAGACACTGATGACTTCATTACCAACAAACTTTCTTTTAGAGTGGAAGTGATATGCCTGCACCGAGTGCAGGAAAGTAGTTTAAATGCCAAAATAATTCAGCAGGCTTTGCCCACTTTATTTTTCCTTAGCTATCTAGTTGTGAAGGTGTAAATATTGTAACCCCAAAGGGGTTTTAGGGATCATTAGTGGCACAGAAGCTGAATATGTGAGTGACGCTTGGCTGAAAGCCTGCAACTGATTGGTAGCCACAAGTGTGGTTTTCAACTACAGAAAAGGAGTGAGATCATCATCATTAGAAAGGAAAAGAAAGATGGAAACAAGATGACCTTTTTCACAGGGAATTCAAAGATTTGTACTTTAGCTTTCAGCTTGTGCTGCTGGAAGTAAGTTTGAAAAGGTAAGGGAAAGAAAATCACAATATCCAAAATGAAATAAAAAAATTCCCAGACTAGAAAGATTGACACAGCCATGGGTAACACAGTGAAACTTCACTAACCTTCAGTTAATTTGTTCTTGTGTTCCTATTAGTGAAGCCAAAAAGATGTTTTTTCAGCAGTATTTATTTCACTAAACTTATAAAGAAAGTATATATGAGAGCTGGAGGGAGAAAGTAGCTAGTAGTTGACTTCTAGAAATAATTTCCAGGCATAACACAGTCACTTTATGAACTGTTTAAAAAAAAAGTAACCTCCTGCAAAAATCACAGTATATAAAATACTTGCCTCTGTGCTGAAAAAATCCTCACTTTACATTTCATTCTGGAGGGTAAGCTGCTCAAGCCCAACTTTAACCTTCAGTGCATGATACACAGCTGTCCTTTAAAAAAAAGTTAAAATCACTCTAAACCAAAGTACTAGGAACAAGAACAAGAAAGAAATAACTTTTTTTTTTCATGAAACAAGAAAAAAAGGAAGGAGTGGGGCAGCAAATTAAGTTTTTTGAAGCCATATTAGGGTTTTCCTCATTAGATTCCTCTAGCTACAGCTTCTCTGTTTTCATGGATTTCACTGGTGAAATTTTTCAAGAAAAACAAAAACGCAACTCCTTTTTCCAAGATACTGGCTGTAAGAAAGAGATCCACTACAGCCTCTAACAAAATTAAAAGGATGTAAAACGATGCAGATGAAGCCTGCAGGTCACTTATTAAGCCCTCCAAGTTCAAGCTGCTGCATTTTCCCCTGCCCTGCTTAGTTGGTACCAGTACCGAGAGGGCAGTGAAACCAGCCATATAACAGGCAGCGAGAGGGTTATGGGGATACAGGGAGGAGGAAGGATGTTTTCTGCACCTAAGAACTCAGGTTTTTTTAAGAGGAAATTATGAGTTCTTTTTAGCATGCAATTGGAAACTGAGATGAGGATGTATTTGGATGATAAAATAGCTTTTATTTTTAATGGTAGACATAATTGAGAACATCCAAATGAAAGCACAGTATTGTAAACCATTCTAGAATTTACTAGCAAATTTATAACTGTTCTGAATTAGAGAATGATGGTGTCCCCTTTATGTCTTTGTCTTGCAATTTAACTAAATTGACATCCTTTGGAAGCACTCATTAGGGCACGATGTAAGTTATTTACTGGGTCCATTCACCACAGCACATGAAGGTGATAACACAACTCCAGAGTCTCAGGAGCATAAAAAAAGTGGTAATACTGGATGACCTTTCTAATTTTTTTTTATTTCCTGGGTTGAATCATTGAGCTCATTGGGAATCACCAGCATAAGCCTAAGAGTTAAGAGGGCAAATTGACACCATGGGCATATTGATGCATTTCAGGGCATGTCCTTCCCCAGCCATGACAAGTTATCTCTCACCTACCCAGAGGGATCTGAAATCCAAGAGAGGAGAGCATCTACTGCCAACTTCTTAGGTTAGAGTGGGAATCATTAAGACACCCTGTCTGGATGTTGCTGCGGACTCTTATCTCCTTTACCTTCTGCTTGACACTGGTGCGATACTGGTGACATGACTGATTCCCTGAGCTATGTACACAGAGTTGTTTCTTGTGCTAGCACTGGGCACACATTCAGAGCAATTTAAGAAAATCTTTTAGCATGGATGAGATCGACGCCATTGATAGCTAAACTGTATATGAGCCTCAGCCCTCCAACAAATGTGTATTTGGGTTGATCATCCCCCCTGCAGACCTCACCTATAAAAATGAAACACAGAGATCTCTACATAGACCCTTGCCTAAGCTTTGTAATACTGTCAAGCCAAGGATGCTCATCCCAGTGACCTGTCTTGTCAGAATGGGCTAAACTTCAGTAATTGTTGAGTTTTTGTGCCCTGGTAAAAGGAAGCCTTCTAGCAGTAAATTGCATCATTGCCTTAGATGATCATTGGTACAGGTCTTCACGAAAGCAGTTCTCAAACATAACACACTGTAATAAAATAGCAGGGCTGCCTGCTTCACTGCCTTGACATCAGCTAAAAACTCTGTAACATCTCCAGCAAATAATAATAAAAAACAACTAAATATCTTTTGAACATGACTGATTTTGTCTCATATGGAAGAAGCCAAGTTAATGACATACAAAGCAGTGGATAATTAATACCAAGTGAGGGGTAAAAGAAAAGGAAAACCAAGGGGAACATCACACTAAGACAGCAGAAACTTACCATCTTTGGGAGCAGTCTTGGATAAATAAACACTGCAGGTAGGACTGCTGATGCTCTGATGTCATAAAGTTTTGTCATGTCCAGAACTGCTAGCATCAGCACCTACAGTGAAGAGACTGATTTACATCCAGTGAGTGCACTAGCAACCTAGTAATAACGATATGTTTTCCAAATAGGTCACTCTGGAAGAGTTGGCTTTATTATAATTATATACACTGTTGAATCATGAGATCACAGGCAGTACTCTCATAAATCACATTGTATTGCTGATTTTATCCATATACTGTGGTTGTAATTTATGTGTCAGTCTATATTTATTCCCCTACTTGACATTATTCTTCAGTTTAAGTATGATCTTTTTTCCAGTGTTATTTTGACCTTAGTGAAGATTGTCTTACTACAAAGTGAATTATTAGTATATGGACCTTTTCAGCAAAGGTTGGTGCTCACAGGAATATGACCCACATTTTTCAGGAACCCCTATTTTTTGAGTTTTCTATTTTCTGAGTTAAAAATGAAGGGTAAGCCATACAGTTCAGGTCACATGGACAAAGCAGTGGCAGGAAAGATGCCTCTGAGGAAGTTCAATCTTTGGGGAATTACTGTCCCCAGAGGCTCAGGGCAGAGCCCTTTTTGGGTTTGTCCTCTAAACCAAAGTGGTGCCCACTCCAGCCTTGCTCCCACAAACCTCACTTCCAACCCAAACCATCCTATGATTCTATGATTCTGTGATTCTATTGTTCTATGATTCTATGATTATAAGAGAAAGTGTCTAATATCTCACATTTTTCTTCTATCTTGAAACTGCCTGAATATATATTCATTGACATCAGTAGGCCAATTATTTTCTCTGGTGGTACCAATAAAGAAAATACATTGATTTCAGAGATTTTTACAATAATTATTGAGAACATTGGAATTTGACCTCATAAGCCTTCATATTGAGAGATTTCCATCTTTACAATGTGAAGGGTTTTTTTAGCTTTTATTAAAACTCCAGCTTTTTTTTTTTTCCAAAGCTCAAGTTATTTAATATGGATATATTTCTTCATAGAACTACCACACTGTAAATCTGCATTCCACAAAAGCTTGATTCCTAGTACTATACATATTCTGCCTATAAACTCTGCTTAGATTTGTTTTATTCTATCAGTTTCACACCTATGATTTTGACATAACTATCTACATAACATAGAGAGCCAAAGACTCCTGATCCAGAATAAAGAATAGCAAGCTACCAAGTACTTGAATGCAGAAACTGAGGCTAAGCCTCTTGGAAACAGAAACCTAAGTTAATCTTGAGCTTGATTTTGGACTTTTTATGCAACACCAGTCAGCAGAGTCATAAAGCAGGACATTCATTTCCACTCCAAAAGTGTGAGAGGATTTAGGATACACAATACTAATTCCATTTTAATAGACATGATTCTATCTCTGGTCAAAATTTTCATATATGTTCTGCCAAGTTGTTTATTACATAGATCATCTTCAGAGACAAACATAACCCTGTCTTTGCACAGGTCTTTTTCATCAATAGCCCCATGATGGCCGTCTGATGTGGATGAGCTCCTTTGTTGTGTTTACCAAAACGTACATCATAACAGTCTCATCATTATTTTCTGAAGTTAATTCAAAAATATTTCTAATGATTCTATTCAGCTCTGGATTGAGTCTTACAAGGAAAATTAAATGATCTTTAGCAAGGTACACAAACTTGAGCTAGAAGCACTGAGTAACTCCAGCCGTGTATGCTCAGGAAATAAAGACATCTCCTGTTTGTCTCTGCATCTCATCCTCTGTTCATGACTATTAAAAGAAAAATACACATCTAGCCAATAATGCAGTGATACTTGGTTAGGATGTCCATTTTTTCTGCTTTAGTGGCATGTGCTACGTATCTGAGGGAAACTGACAGGCATAACATATTAGATGACTTATCTGGGTCCACCACAGTCAAGATGCAGTTGGTCAGATTTAGTCTTCATTCATGTAAATCAGTCTTACATCACTGATTTATTTGCTCTGCTGATTTAAACCATGTGAAAAATCTAAGAAATTGCATGAATGGTTCTGGTTTTCTTTTGTCTTCTTTGAAATGTAGTGTCTGTGGGTAGGTTTTGTTTTGTGAAGTACTGCTATAATGGACGACTCCTCATAAAGATGCTACCTCTGTTCTTCATGGAAGAGCATAGCTGCAGACAACCAGAGAACCAGAGAAAAGCTGGCTGTAGGGAGCTGGCTTTTCACACCAACACATTACCCTGTGATGCACCAGGAGTCTCCCTGCCCTCCCCCCTGTAAGGCATTTCTTTTTTGCTGATCTATGTCAAATACATACTGAGCAGCAAATTTTCATGCTTCCACAGGAGACTGGCCTTGCTGTGTGCCAAGGCACATGCTGAGAACTGCTGCTCCCCTGTGGAAGGGGAAGGTGTTCAAGCCAGCCCAAAACATGAACATGGACTTTGGCCTCAAGAAATAATCCACAGAACAACTGCAAGGTTGAGAGAAATGCAGCAGTTTCACAGTAGGAAATGTCAGCCCTTCGGCACAAGCCTGATGGCTGTTCTATTAGTTCACATTACTTTCTTAGTCATGATCTGACAAGCACAGGCTCCCTGTTCAAGGTAGTGTCAAGGACAACAAAATTTTAATCTGGGAAAGAAATTTCTGTACCAGAGAAATAAGCCTGAGTAGTCAAGATGCTGAAAACATTTCCTGATGCAGAGTCTGCAACCTTATAATTTGCATAAGTTACCATTGTTTATCACTCTCTGCCTCTCAGTGGAATTCAACACTTTGTTGTGCTGCAAAAAAAGCCAGCTGGATGTTGGCTGAAATGAAAAGAAAAAATCTCTATTCTTGTTAAAAATATAAGTATCATGAAGATACTTTGGCATTGCCATAGTTTGGTGGCCTGCAGCTTAGGAGTTTCCTGTGCCAAGCATTGAACTTGCTCCTCCAAACAGCTGAAAACAAAGGTTCAAGATCAGTCTTTGACCATATGCTGCCATGTGAGTGCAGGTGCAGGCACAGGCACAGGGTAGAGGAAGAGCATGACAAAACACTGTTTGACTGTCTTCTGTGAACGTGTGGGTCAATAGGCTGTAGATGGACAGCAGAGGAAAGAGGGCTGAAAGGCAGAGCATGGGAAAGGGGCTGCTGAAAGTTGTTTGATCAGTGACCAGAGTTTTTGTGCAGACTGCACTGATCTTTGCAAATTTAGGATTAGCTGTGCATTGTAGCATTATCATTTGCCCTGATCTGTGTGAAAATATGATGAGAAGATAGACAAAACCTGTTCTACTTATTGGTGTTCTTCATACCTATCTGGTTTAGGGCGTCCCTCCCTGACCCTGAGTGTGAGCTCTTATGGCATGTGCTCATCCAAGATCATAGACTTGGGCCTCGCAAGTGCAATTCAGGGTGGAAGGAGACTGATCCAAAGCATCATCTCTCTAGACTCTTAACATGGTATGTTTTCTGTGTAAGATCCATCTGCAGTTGCTTTATCAGCTGAAGTAACCATGGAAGTGGCATACTGTAATCTATTTATGGCCCAACCTACCAACAGTCTTAAATCACAAGTTGCGTCTTTGTTGTCAGTTACCAGTACTTATCCTAAAATGTTGGACTTCATAGCTAACCTCAGCTCTTACGAAAGGTTCCAAACAGAAAACTGAGAATGCAACCTAATTTATGTGAACACCACTACAGCTCAAAGATTCAGGGAAATTGAGTGCTTTTTTCTTTCATACAGAGTCGGCTGCAGTCTTAAAAAATGTGTTGTGAATCTACAACTAACCAGATTAGGAGAGGCACACTCAAAATAAGAGTCAAGAAGGTGAAGCAACTGGACCAAAAAAAAGGATGCTAAGCTTTTGTAGCCAAAAGACATAGGAGAGCTATTTGGCAATAAGGTTTTTCTTGGCTATACTAGTTATTATATACACTTTTCATTTGAGATTTTGCATTAATATCCCATTGGTTTGCACATACACTAGGGTTAAGAATGATACAGCTAAGATCTGGGGATATTTTACATTTTCTGGGGAGGAGGGGGAGGGAGAGGACCTGTTCACGCACTGGCTGTAACCAATCAAGTTTTGCATGATGCCAAAAAATTAAACACAGTAAAGCCAGACCCTGTCAGCAATGAGTTGATTGCTTTAAATAAGGGAGATTTCCTGAATGTTTAAATTGGAACTTCTACTATGATTAAAGCAAAGAGAAGTACCAGGATGCTTCCTAACTATTTAGTTCCTAAAATTCCTGTGAGGTCTGGAGATGACAAATTCAATTCTGATGTGCTGTGTTTTACACTCTGCAGGCTGTAGCAAAAGGTAAAACTAATCAAGCTTGGGTTTCCCATGGGCTGTACTTTAAGATGTTTTCTTATTTAAAGTCTTGGAAATATGTTAAAACCCACGTAGACTGGGTTAAGTTTATACAAGGCAAAATGTATTCAACCATGCTTTTGCACAGTGTGCATATTTTGACTTTTCATTATTTTTTGTTTGTTTAATCCTTCATCCTGCTTAAAATTATATTCCAACTACATTTGCAAACTGAAGATAGGGAAGAACAGTTTATAGCTCTCTCAAAATGTTGCTTAAGACTGTTTAGAGCAGAGGATACCTTGGGAGTGAATTGGACTTCTTCTGTAAGATGTTAAATGCAGGAGAGGGAATAGGCATGTATTCAACAGAAAACTTTTAATTATAGGTCATGAAATATTCATGCTGCTTATACTCTTTTTAGAATAACAGAATTTTATCCCTAAGCCTATATTGTAAGGGAAAGTTTAAGTTCACTTACAGCAATCCTTCTTCACTGTTTCAAGCTCCACAAAATGAATAGTTAAATGGAATATGCCTAATTAATCATCATATGTACACAATCAACATTTTACATAGCAGGGAAAATTATGGAAATGGGCCTTTTCAGAAGATCCATCTCCATCAGAAATTACTTCTGACCTGACTGTGAATGTACTCCTCAAATACATATTTTTGAAATGATAATT